TGTATGAATCCCCATTTTTTAGGGCTGCAAATGTTATAAATTGTGAGATTAAACTAATGGCTTGAAGTGATCATCTGTCCTTGACCACCGAGTTGCTTTGTCCAGATAGCAGCAGCTCACGAGAAACAAGTGAACAACTAAACTGCTTCAGACAAGCAGTTCATGCTAGAAAATCCTCGAATGGAACTCAGTGGAAGGAGATCACCAGCTGCAGAAAGCTCTTAGTAGGAGATATTGTAGTGAAAGGTGGTATAACCAGTTATTGACTAACTGGTTATACCACCTTTCACTTTTATTTTTTTCACACTTGATGACTGCATGTCGGGTGATTTTGTTTCTGAAATAAATGAAAAAAGCACCACATTAGGATCCACACCAAGTGCTGATAACATTCAGTGGCAAAGATATGCAAAAATTCAGCAAACCTGGAAGAAGAGGGTATTTTTTGTCAGAATTGTATCATCTTTTAAGGAGAACATACCTCTTTTTGTTAAAAGAAAATGTTTTGACAACAACTGTCTGACTTACGAGGTAGCCCTTAGATTACCTTCAGGATAAGTTCCTTGAATTAAAAGATGGTGTCAGAATATCCTGACTCACCAAGGAAGTCTATGTGCCTGAGAGGCAAGATAAAGCTATGAAGGGAGGAGGCAACAGGTTTCTACCTTTCAATTTGAAATGTTCAGGGATTAGAATTTCTTGGCAAAGCGATTTGTCCTTTGGTTCCCTGAAATTAGGGGCAGACAATTTTTTTGCCATCAGTTCCTCTTTCTACCTTCTCTGGGAACTACAACATGGCCAGTGACATTGTAGGTGGGGTGAAATGTTCAGACCCATTCTTTGAGTTTTTGTATAGGTGTTAAAAGCAATAAGCAGAGGCTTAAGACACCAATTTTGCTCCTTAAGACTTCTCCAAAAGGGAAAAACCAGTCCAATTAATGGGGTCTTGAAATGGTATAACTGCCTCAAGCATTTCATTTCTGAAACCACCTACCCCACAAATGAAGAGAGACTCAAAATGTTTGGCCTCAGTTGCTGTGGGAAGCTTGGCTGTGTGTGTGTGTTCATTTGGAGTGCCAGGAGTTGCATGCAGCTCACAGGCTGTGGGTTATCCACCCCTCCTTTAATGACAGGCTTTGGAGCTAAAAGAAACTCCCAGAAATGTTGACTGAAGATTCATGTCTTCCAAAACAGATGTCCTACAGCAACAATCTGCTACTGGATGTGTAAGATCAATTGGACAGTGGGCAATGTCTGGGAGTTGCATCCAAAAGAGAAAAACTCAAATCCATGTAAGCAAGCTAGTTAAGATTTGTGCCCCCAAATATCTAAGGCAGTTTTTCTGGAATAATAAAAGGACCATTTTCCTCCCAAAGTGAATTAAAAGCAAAATGACAAAGTTGCCACAAACAATGCCCAAGTCTTCAAAAGCTGTCCAGTATTGAGTGATAAAGGTATAACTTATGCATGGCTTTAATTGGGTAAGGTGCCAGTGGAGTAAAATTTTAAGTATTTCCTCTTTGGGTTTAACTAAAACAATTTTATAAATCTGTGTCAAATAGCACATCATTGCTATCATTTTTAAAATGTATAAACTGACAATATGTCTAGAAGTCAATTTAATTCATATAAATATTTGAGATCTTACCTACCATGAATTGCTAGATGAAAATAGTTTATGATTAATAGAATAATAAAGTGTCTCACTTGAAATAATTTGCAAATTATTAAATTTAAGAAAAAGCTGTTTCTTTTATCATAAATGTAATATATTCTGGATTCTTAGCTTGCAATTTATTCCATTTCTCTTCTTCAAAATGCCATAGCTTCTACTGGTGTGAATGTTCATTTTGAATTCACTGAATTATACTGAAAGGGATTTTTTTAAACACTATTTAATCAGTAAGTTGGAGGAGGATGTTTGAGGTAAGCAAAAGAAATAAAAACTGAGTGTCTGTAGGAAAAAGTTAATTTTCAATTGTTTAAGCTTTCTCATTTGAATGGCTTAAGCTAGGAATTGACATAATAAAACAATATCTAATAGACAAGATAGGTTCATTCTACTAGATTATTGTAGCTCTGAAATCCTAGATACACTGAAACAAAGCCAGTTAGATTAGTTGCAACTATTTTGAATTCTTCAACTGAAATATAACTGGGATTTAATATTTTAGTTCAAGATATTTGGTAAAATGTTGTTTTTAAAGTTTACATTTGCACTCCATGATTTGGAATTAGTCTATACAGCAGTTTAGCTAGGAACAGAAATAAGAAGATTCTCTATAAATATCCAAGGTATTGTCATTCCCAAGTGCTACTTGGCTGAGGACATGCCTACTAAGTCAATTATAGAACGTTTAGAACCTTCCAATGAAATCAAGGTGAAGCCAGAATAATTGATATTAAGCAGGGATAGAGTCATATAAAGAGATGTATCAAGGAGAGAGAAGCACACTTGCAAACTGTCCATTATACAAAACACAATATGCCAATCAAAGATCCTAAAAGAGCGAGAAATAGCAAGGCATCTCAAATCAATATATGCTTGAAAAAATATTCATCACAATTTAAAGTATCTAGTGCTTGGAGAAAAAGTTGAGGGAACATTTATGCATGTGTTGAAAGGGGAATATAATTTTTATTTTCAACCTTGATCACAAACCTAAGAAATGTTTCTTCCTTGCTGATTTTATAATTTTAGCAGAGGAAATTACTCACTAAACGTTTATACTTAAAAGAGGAATGAAAATGCCGCTTGTATGGTTTGTTGATTTCTGCTACCTCAACACACTTAATTATTATAATAGTGTAAAACTGTGTGGTAGTGTAAAACTGATTTACAATTATTTTTAGTCCATCATGTTTCCCAGCAGAGAGGTTTTCAATGGAGTAAAAAGCCACATTGGCCACTAGTGTGTCCTTTGCAGAATTTAAAACATGGCAGGGAAAACATGAAGCTTCTGGATTGTTTCTGACTTCTTAAGAGCAGCTCCTTCCTGGGTCATGTGACCAGGGAGGAGGGAGGAGGTTTAAGAATGGAGTGGTCAGCAGCATTCCAAGCTGCTGCCCACTCTCTTCCCGGTAGGGAGGCCCTACAGAAACTTTTCTGGACTTTTTTTTCTTCACAACACCCAGTTGGACCAAACTTGAGTCTTCTTTGGTTGGCCTCTCCCATTATGCCAAATTTGATCACATTCTGTTCTGCTTTTGGAATTACCTGCTGGTGAACAGATACATCCTAAGCACTTTTCTATGCTTTCTTTCCAACTTTCTGTTGGGCCGCAAAAGATGAAAATGCTGAGATTTAGATTCCTAAACAATTGCCTTCTACACAAGTCCACCACCGCTGCTGTTACCTACAGACTGCTTCAAGTCCACTAGCCTTCTGAACTGGTGCCTATCAGCAGAAAGCACTTCCTTTCAGTTGAGGCAACTGGAATGTGGCGTGCCCTCACGTAAGAAGGTAATTGGCTGTTAATTTTGAAATCCATTTTATATCAACTAAAGGTCTTCATCTTTGCCTAGGCTCTGTAGCATATAGATGATTGGGCCTTCGTTTATTATTAACTTTGAATTTTAGTGCTCTGGTTTTGGTTTTGTTATTAATTTTATAGAGCTTAGCAGTGCATCACTTGAATTATAGTGACAAATGGCTATTGATTTCAGTCAATATTTCAAGATGCCAAACTACTAAATACATTTGCAAGCACTATGGTCATTTCCCCATTGTAGATTTAAAGATTTTTCATTACTTCTTGTATTGGCACAAAAATTTTGTCCTAAAATTGGTTATGCACATCATCCCCCTCTTCTGCATCTGTTGATTCCCTGCTGATTGCACTGTCCAAATTTGTGTTGGTGCCAGTTGTGATAGGCATGTTGCTTCTCCTCTGGCACAGCTACTCTCCCTCACTGGCACATCACCAGCCAACAGGGAAACCATCCATAAGTCAGGGTACCATAGCATGAGTGGGGAATTTGATGTAGTTTCACATTTTGGGGCTTAGCCTTTGGATCTATAAGGTGGTTTATTCACAAGTTAATATATTTCTTTGTAGGATTGGGGAAGGAGTGTTGAAACTGGCAAATATAGGAAAACTGATAATCAGCAAAAGCCCAGAATGACATCCTTTTGCTTGGCTATGCATAGAGGAGAGGGGGCATGCTCAAACCACCATGACATACCCAACTCATAAACCTGGTAACATTCACAACAGAACATTCAACCTCACTTCCATGATATTGAATAGCAAGGCAATACAGTTTTTATACTCCTTGAAACTATGGCATGACAGTGACGAATTAAGGGTAAGTATTCTTTATTCTGGTACACAAAGTTAAAATCATCACCTGAGGATGGGATGAGGCCAGTATCATGTGACCAAGGGAAACATTGTGGCCGTCACAACATTTCAATATTGCTTTAAAATACAAATGGGGAAGGGGGCTTGTAATAAATCCATGAAAGCAAAGGAATGGGACCTTTATGAGTTGCCTGCTCCTGTATAATTTGTTAAGCTGCTTTGGGCAGAGATGTGGAAAAAACCCAGTGAGTTTGGATAGTTTTATAGAGTTCAATCTGCTTCTTTTCAATTTGATGGTCCAAATGATGTTCCTTAAACTTCTGAGTGCCTCCACTCACTTCACTTACAAGTGTCATCAGTCGGTAGCATGGCATGATGTCTCTTCTACACTGATCACAAAATATTGAGGTTCTTAGGGTCAAACAATGAAGAAATGTCTTACGACAACAATGCTTACATCAAAATGCTGCATGATGGCTGTGCAGTAAGTATAAGCTTTGGATATATTTTCCTACTTTGGTAGGGCAGGTGAGCTTAGCATTCAAATGAGTTCAGTTTAATACCACTCGTACACGTGTATGTTTCTTTCTTAAGCATATTCTTTCATTTTTTATGATTTTGTTGTAATTTCTCTGTTTGATTTGCCCAGATTCATTGAGAGTCAGGTGACATACAAGTTTAATAAGTTGTCGTCATTATTATTCATTTGCAAATGGTTGTTTATTACTTGGAAAAAAGATGAGTTCTTTGGAGAAAACAAAAGGTCTACAATCAATCAGTGGCATCTCTTACAAGCTGCAATGACATCAATATGTGGTGACATATCATGATGTCATTGTGCAAAGAACTTAGAAATAAATACAAGTAAGTAAGTTAAATAATTTGCATCATAAAATAATGCAGTTCTTGTGCTTTGTCCCTCCTAGTCCCTTTGTGGATGTCTGTGGTTACAATCCTGCTAATGTCATTCTGGTCTAGTAAGTACATGTAACTAACAATACTATATTGTGTTTTGGAAAACAAAAATCCTGTCTATTTGTAATTCTAATTTATCACATTATTTTATTTATTAACTATATCAAAGGGAAGATTCTTTTATCAAGACAAATGAATTCTAGGCTATTTTGTTTGGTAATGATAGACTTTATTAATTATTAAATATATTCAATTGCCTTCAAGTTATTTTATCCCTGGATCCTTGGTCTGACACATGGCTTGTTTGTTATCTCCTTATGTAATTACAGTCAGGAAGTTGCAATGAGCATATCAGAAGTTTTATAGTGTCCCAAGTATCATTAAAGTGCCTACAGTTTGCTGGAAGGATGCGGGTTTCATACCAACCCTAAGCACTTAAACCCTAAACTGCTATTAGTAGTTTGTTGCAGCCTGATTCTGTTTGGATTAAAATATTTGTATAGATATTAATAATTCCACCTCTTTTCTTACATCAAAAACTTTCATAATGTGGTAATATATTTCAATGATGCAATGCATAATTATAAATGTAAAGATGTATACATAACCTTTTGTGGATCAACCATTGACTATGTTAGCTAAATATTCATGACAATGGGCCCAATTCAAGGCTCTGAGTCTCTGATGAATACAACTTAGTAGTATGAATTAGGTTTGCTATATCCAGTTCTATGCCAGGAAAAGGGCTGCATTAATTGCAAATAGCACCAGAAATGAAATGAATTTAAACTATGGTTCCCCCCCCCCCAAAAAAACACCAAGATTTTCACTTACTCCATTCCCACCAACTTTGCTCCTAAATACTATTGCTTCATCGGCAAGCATTTTTGTCTGTTACCAATTATTTAGATTTTAAAAATTACATGCTGGATCTTGACTTTATTATAGATCCATAGAAATTAACGGGAATTTGGGTGACTCATGTTCCTTATCCTATCTCTGTGGTCTTCTCCTTAAATCTGCTCTGAAATCTATTTAAAGGAAGGAGCAAGGAGAATCCATTTGGGGGGCAGAACAAGGAGGAAGAATACATTCTACTGTCAGATGTTATTCCATCAGCAAAATGACAGCACTAAATGCAAACCGAGTCTACACTCATGACAAATCTGTATCTAATCCTCTATCTTTAAAATAAACAGACAACAGAGTTCTCAAACTGAAAGTATTGCAGCTTTTAGGCAGACATCTCTTGATATTAGCAATCAAAAAAATCTCTGTTTTCCATCTTTTTCTTGTTAATTTTCCTGAACAAAACAGGCAATAGACAAGCATGGTGATGTTATCTGGACTCCCTATTAAAATGCATGAACGAGGCAAGGCCTCTGCATGAAAAAAAACGAATTTGGAATAGTGATAACAATATAGTGCAAATAGTGTGCAGCCCTTTAACAGTAACCTGTAGCAAACAAATAAACAGATTAAATGCCTGAAAACAGGGAGCATCTTAAAAACTGTTACTACAGTCATGGGGAGCCTTCTCATGCTACTGCAGTAATGTTTAGAAAATTGGATTTTCATAGGTGAGACCAATAGCACAGATTTTTTTCTACCCACTTGCATTTGTGTATTTGAGCAGATAACTGAACTTGACTGCCTTTATCTGGGCATTGTAGCTATGCAAGGTTGGGATTGATTGTTATTTGAATAAGAAATCCTGGGTTTGTAGGCTATACTGGGAAGTAAAAAAAAAAAACCACTCTGGCAGAAGGCAACGGTCAGCCACTTCTCTACCGATATAGAAAAAACAAAACAAAAAACTGAATGATGTATCAATGAAGTAATCAGAAATCAAATTCACCTTGGAGACTTTATTTTTACTTTACTTTACCTTTGCAAGTATATTCAGCAAACTTCACAGAAAAATAAAGGTGGCCCATATTGGGACGTGTTCATAAGTGTGATGTGTTCGATTACTAACAGTGTCTATCTGTGGAAGGACTTTGGTAGTTTGTGCCGACATCCCAAGTGTTGCTTTACAAAGAAGGCTTTGTAAACCTGAACATGATTCCCATGTCCTGCTGCATATATGAAATTACTTTCCTTGTAAATTCTGACTGGGCTTAAACAAATTGCCAGGAAATATGTATTGTGCAAATCCAGGCGTGTGTCATGAATTTATGATTCAGTGTATTGCATGAAACCAGGCAGATGGGCTAAGCAAACCATAAGTTAGTGTGCTGTGTGAACTGAGTCATTATATCGATCCATATTTTCCCAGGTGATCAGTTAAGTAGCTATTCTGTGCTGATAAAGTAGCCAATATTCATAACAACATGGATTAAGGGAATAACTCTGTAATTTTATCACACAGAACATTCAGAAATAGGAGCCTTGAGGTGGCACAAGCTACTTAACTACTCATTGTAAGATTTAAATGCTATAGTTACATACTGTATATCTTATGTATTTTATCAGGCAATTTAAATTTAGGTTTTACTACTGTATTTTATTTAACTATATAAATACTTAGAAGTGCTACTGATTATGAGTAGGCATTATCGGTTATGTGCACAACAATAAACTTTGGAAATTAGTAATAGAAAATGATAGTATATTTGAAAAGATATTGTAAAGCATAATCATTTTTCATCTATATGCCAAGTAGTTTGGTCTTTACAGCCAATTAAAAGCACTTTTCTTTAAAATAAAAAGGAGATTATTAGCCAAAACTCCTTCATTTTGGCTAAATGTGACCCTCCACCAGTGAAATAAAAAGAAGCTTTCTTTCAGTAAATGTTAAATTATACCGAAACTGTTAATGTTACATTTAAGACTTCTTTTTTGGGGGGGAGGGGGCTTTCAGTTATTGTTCTGCATCCTCTTTTAGATGATACCTAATTGGTAAACTAAAATTAGAAAGCAAGTATTTTATCACAATTTAAACTGACAACAAAAAGTCTGGACTTCAGTCCTCCACAGCAGAAAGTTATCAAGTGAGCTCCAGGAAATAATACAGGAAAACATGAAAAATTTAAGTTTGAAATTTAAGGAACAATGATTTCATAGCAAAAACAGAAAATAAAAAACCTTCATTATGGAGTCTCCAAAAATTACCAGCTGGAGAGATACAGCAGATGACAGCGTAGGTTTCTTCAATTATTTCAAATTTCCAAAATGTTTAACTTGAAGATTTACTGAGAGTACTGGCCAATCAGTACAACTTTCCAGAAACTTGGGGTTTTTTTCTGACAGTTGCTAGTATTGGTGAAATCTGCTCTGTTTATTCTGTCTTTACAGGTGCAGTAAGATCAGCACTCAAACTTGTAGTAATAATGCCTACAAAAAGAAAGAACATCATATTAAAACATATATTAAAAAACAACAACCAACAACATAGGCCACTATACAGTCATTGATTAAGAAAGATTCTAAAACGCATGGAAGGGCTAAAATAAAAGCCACACAAGATTTGAAATGGACCAATTTGTTTTCATGCACCACCTCTTGTGTCCAGCTTCTCCTTCTACAAGCAGATGGAAAGGACTTTCAGGGAAGTGGCACAAGACAAATCTGCACAAGCACTGTTCTTGCCAGATAACTAATCCTGTTGCCAAGCTGGCGCAACAGCTGCCCACCTTTGCAGTCCGCCAAACTGGCACCAAGGCCACAAACTGAGGACATCAAGAACTAGATTCCCCAACCGAGGAAGCTACAGACCATTTTGCACATCTCCAAGGAGAACTTGCCAGATATTTTTCTCTACAGAGACTTACAAAAATAAGGTTTGATGTGCTTCTGCTGACAGTCCTAAAGGTCAGATTTCAAAACTTCTCTTGTAAGAAATGTATTTACCCTCATGGATTAGGAATAATAGAAAATGCTACTTTACCATACCTTTTACAGAGACTACATTACACTTACTCTATTACATTTTCCAGGTGGATCACATTTTATAGTTTTCAATTGCTGTTACACAAAACTCTCTTCATTACATATATTGTCACAAAATTCTGTGCAATAGCACAAGAGCCTGGCATGAGATAACAGCAAGGCTACTGTGATGGAATGTATCTACGGAGGGGGAGGTGGTGTGATGGAATGCAGTAGAGACCAAGGTTCTCAGGAAGGAGGGGGCACATTCCAGGAAGGAAAAGGGGGAGGCAAGAGGCAACGTCGTCCAGAGCCAGAGCGTGGGAAGAGGAAAGACTTAAGATAGCCACTCCCTAGATTCTCCCAGAGTATATCTATTAGGTTAGCATAGTACAGATTTAGCCGGCAAGATTCTGTCTACATGGTATAAGCAATAAAGAACTGAACTTGGCTGGATTGTTTCCCTGTTGTTCTTGGGTTGGGCCTGACAACAATCTTGCCAGGCTAAATCTGTACTATGCTAACCTAATAGATATACTCTGGGAAAATCTAGGGAGTGGCTATCTTAAGTCTCTTTTTCTTCCCACGCTCTGGCTCTGGACTGTGTTGCCTCTTGCCTCCCCCTTTTCCCTCCTGGAATGTGCCCCCTCCTTCCTGAGAACCTGGGTCTCTACTGCATTCCATCACACTACCTCCCCCTTTGTAGATACATTCCATCACAGCTACCTTTGTGAATTTAATTTTTATCCTATCTTTCTTGGAGCATTTTAGACTTTAAATGTGTTGGTGTATGTGCAGGTTGATTATGCTGGTAGATTCACTAACAACTGATACCGTACTGACTTAGAAATGATACTATTACTTAGTATCATTATGCATTCTATCTGGCTTGCTTTGGCTGTAATACATTTCTCCCTCTACTTCTCCTCCTCTGCAGACTAAACAGTAGATTAGAAAAACTCATGTGGTTTGTGATTCTGAGTATCTGAATGAATCTATGCAAAGCTGATCTCAGAAAAATGTACAAATTCTCAGTTACAAGAGGGGTGTGTAATATGTGTGTGTATTTGGAGGGTTTATAATAAAACCCTTTATTTTTCTTACACTCTGATGAAATCCACATTCAGAAATATACACACAATCTCCTTAGGGCTATATCATTTCAGATTGCAGACAGAATTGCATGCTTCCCCAAATCTCTTTAAAAAATCCATGCATATAAAAATTGTTGTTAGTTGGGTAACGATAGATTAAATATAAGCACGTACCACTTGATGATCATTACAGTTGACTGTGTATCCTTATTATATTATAAAATGATTGAATGTGTGATGGAGGGCATAAATGTTCTCACCATTATGGTTCACTAACATGCTAGTTATCAGATGTTGACAAGCACTTTTGTGTTAACTCAAGTCTACAATTTTCCTCCTTGACTTCCTTACAGGCAGTTGCAGATTCTAGTAAAATATATAGCTGGTGTGATGGAGTGCTTGAAGTGTGATAAAAGGTGAAGTTTTTCCAATTGTTTGTAGCTTCTAGGGTAAGGCAGATGACCACTTCTATATCATATTCATGCTATGGCTGGCCATGTTCCTCTGATTCTTGGGGAAAGTGTCTGCTCTCCCAAGACTTATTTAGTTAAAACTTTTATCCCATTTTTCTACTTTAAAAGCACTGGTGAATTTTATGCTGTGTTGTTAAAGTGGTGTTAGAACATATGCAGATCTAATTTCTTTCTTTTATAATAAAATATATAACATTTATTTATTCTATATCACTTTGTGAGGGCTATTGTATCTTAAAGGTTATTTAGAAATCTTTTAATAAAGCAAGGCTCCTTGGCTTCAGATATTGATAGGAATGGTCAAAATCTGGAGTTATTTTTTGATTGGTCTCTATTTTTTTGTCCTATTTCATATATCCATTGACAAACATAGTGAAGGGTTTTGGGTCAACTCTTGGTGTGAGCCAAAAGGACCAATGGCATCCATTTTATATTGTTGTTATGTAGACTAAACTTACCAACCACACAATTTTATTGCAGGGCCTCCTGCTGCCCCCCATCAAAAATAAAACTGGCAACAGTCTATAGATAGCTTAGGAAATTATATTGGGTGTTATGCCAGACAAACATGCAGACATTAAGAAAAAAAAGGAAACTAGCTGCTACCACATGATGCAATTCCTAGAAGAGTAACATGCTTACATTCACATAACAGAGACATCACCACCAGCAAAGTTACCAGTTTACCTGTGATGCGTGTCTGCCAGGGTATAACATATGTGTATTCATGCGAGCTGTAGTAAACTGATACCAGATTCTACGTTGCATTCTTTAAAAAGATACTTCAGCAAGTGAAAATCCAGGGAAATGTAAAAAAGCCATGATACTTCCAACAGCTATGCTTCCCATGTAATCTAGTTTTTGGCTTTCATTTTCACTACATTGCTGATCCAAGCAGTCTGCAGGAGTTTACATGAACATTTACCTAAAGTCAAATAAACTTTCAGTCATGTAAATAACTGAGGCAATGTAAGACTGAGTTCATAATCTTGGGATGAACTTGTATTGGGGGCTGAGTGCGAAAGTTATGAGATGACAATTGTTCCTTATGTTCTATTTAAGATGTTGTTTCCTCCTATGTACAAAAAGTTCACTTCAGAACTTTATATAACACTCTAATTCCCTAAAAGAGATAAAGCTGTTTCTGTTTATATTGTTATTCCTCTTGTGCAGACACCATAATTTACAACTTGACAATCAATCTTATGTCTGTTTATTCAGAAATACATTCTAGGCTGTTTAAAGTGTCTGAGTCTAATAGCGTATGTAGAATTGCTGCTAAAATCACATCTCTTCTGATTGAAGATAAAAAGTTACTTAATTCAAAAGCTATTGAACTTATTTAAAGGGTATATATACATGTACATAAGAGAATGAGTATGCAACTCCTCTAGTTAGTTCCTTAGCATAATTATAATCAATGCTCCTAGGAACAGAGAAATGCATGTTGCAATCAAGCACAGTTGTTGCTACTGTGTCTTTGATCCATCCCATGAGACTTCTGTAAATGCAAATGCCATTTCATCAGCTCGCTCCCAGTAAAGAACTTTTAAACAATGTTATCCAACTCCTGCAACTGTCATGTGTGTGCATGTGTATGCCAAATGCCATACACAAATTCCTTTGAGAATGTAGAGTTAGTGTATGACTCCCATAAACAGAAGAAAAAGATGGACATCTTTGAATCTACTGTTGCTAGTTCCTTTTTTTTTTTTTAATTATACGTTGGTGAATGCATTCTTATGTAAGTTGAAAATATTTGCATTTGCGTATATTTCATCTTGATGGAATGACAAAGGGAATTCATAGTCTTACCAAATTAATTGTTTGAACATATATTTACAGGAGTGCGTGGGGAGGGACTCCAAAAAGTGAAATGTCAGGTGCCACGATATGAGCGTAGACCCACCCATGTTTAATATCTACGTGACATCTGCATGTGGGCTGAAATAAACAAAATATCTTTGGAAAGTGGGTTTGCCAAAATGATGGTATCTAATCAGGCAACAGTCACAACCATTTACCACATAATGGGAAAAATGAACAAGCGTCTGCTCTTTTGTTTTGGCAAAACTATGCAGAGATCATCAGGACCGTAAGCTTTTAGAATGTTAAAATATCTTGCGTCTACCCTTGCAGGTGTTTTTTATTCATCCTTACACAAGCTTGTGACTTTTAAAACCATAAGGAGGTGCTTTCCAACTGGAAATTCCCCTTCCTCAAGCTGTATCCCTAGTTAACTCCTTTTCCATCTATATTGCAGATTAATTTATAACGTGTTTTCCAGGAGATATCCCAAGGAAAATTTCGTACAACTCACATGAAGTCCCAGATTGGATAACTGCTGCTGCTCTGCTGCTATTATTATGGTTGGTCGCACAGTCAGCCAGATGTTTAGACTGGATTTGGCATTTTTATCCACCTATCAAGTCCTTCCCAAGGATCTGGAATAGGCAGATGTGGTTGTTTGATGGTGTTAAAGGTATTCCTATCAAGTCCTTCCCAAGGATCTGGAATAGGCAGATGTGGTTGTTTGATGGTGTTAAAGGTATTCCTATCAAGTCCTTCCCAAGGATCTGGAATAGGCAGATGTGGTTGTTTGATGGTGTTAAAGGTATTGTTGCAGGATATAAGCTGTTCCAAGTAAAGCTGCCTTTTGCAATTGTCTGATGGTGATTTTGTTAATGCCAGTGGTGTTCAAGTGGTGCTCCAGAAGTTTTGGAATTGCACCTAAGGCGCCTATAACTGTTGGTACTATCTTTGCTTTCTTCTTCTTCTTCTTCTTCTTCTTCTTCTTCTTCTTCTTCTTCTTCTTCTT